CATCCACGCCCAGTGTTCCCCGCCGGACCTCAACCACGACCATCCGCACACAGTGTTCCCCGCCGGACCTCGACCATCCGCGCCCAGCGTTTCCTGCCGGACCTCAACCACGACCATCCACGGCCAGTGTTCTCTGCCGGACCTCGACCACAGCACACAACCACAAACACACAACCACAAACACAACGACAAACACACAACCACAACACACAACCACAAACACACAACCACAAACACACAAACACAACCACAAACACACAACCACAAAAACACAACCACAAACACAACCACAAACACACAACCACAACCACAAACACGCAGACACAAACACAACCACAAACACAACCACAAACAACAACCACGAACACACAACCACAAGCACAACTACAAACACACAATCACAACTACTACCAGTACCACAAACACAATCACAAACACACAGCCACAAACACAACCACAAACACAATCACAAACACACAGCCACAAACACAACCGCAAACACATCCACAAACACACAATCACAAAGACACAGCCACAAACACACAATCACAAACACAACCACAACCACAACACAGCGCACAACCACAACACACAACCACAGCACACAACCCGAGGACCCACAAGCAAAATCGAGAACTACAATACTCACGACCATGGCACCATGCTCCTCACTATGGCATCAATCAAGACATTGAAATGTCATGGTAGGGATCACTCGAAGTAATTGTGTTTTGTGTTTTTTGCTGCGTTCTTTTATGGGAATTGCGGTGTCATGCTGATTGCCCCCAAAGTGATGCATCCTCGTCAGCTGGGCCCACGGACCAGTCCGACGCGGGTCAACTGGCCTCTTCGCCCTCGCCACAGGGACGAAGGCAGGTGCCTTGTCCTCGGTGGCAGTCGAGCATGGCTGGGATGGACACCTGAGACTCGATCCAGCATGGCACGCAGACCTTCCCAAACCACTCTCTTTGGGGAGGAGATGGGAGGAGTATGGAGGAGTCACGGTGACCCCCCTCAAAACACGTTCGTCACCAGTCACGGGGGGCGCGTTTCGACTGACGGTTTTCTGTCACAAAAGGGTCCAAAGCCCAGCGGCCGAGCTGGTAGAGCAAGCGCTGGATCTCCTCGTCGGAGGCACTGGGCGTCAAGGGGACGTACCAGGTGGGGTGCAGCTTCAAGCCTGGCGAGCGAGCGAGCAACAGCCGCGCGAACCAAAAGCACCAAATGACATACCGTGTGTGTGGATCTTAGATGATCTTGGATCGTTTTGGCGGGTTTGAGATCGTTGGAGATGGTCAGAAGAGGTGCTAGCTTTGTTTTGCTTTGTCGTGGTTGTTCACTGGCAAACAAACCCAGAACTGTTTTTGTTCCTTTTTTCTGAGCAGTGGCTGGCCCTATGCAAGTGTGCAGCTGACCCTATATTATGCATGCATGGCTGACCTAGGAATGATCCTATCAAATGCCATTGAAATATGCCACTAAGTGTTGCCAAGTGGATCACATTTGGAAACTTTGCTGGGATCAAATCACTGGTTTGCCTGAACTCAGGGCCTCAACTCAGGGCATGGAATCATGTCTCTCACGTTGTTGTGTAAACCGACTTCTCTAATCGAAAATAAGATTGGAACACAATGAAACACCTGCATGCAAACCACACATAGGTTGCGTATGGTTGTGTCGGTGTCTGCGATGCAGCAGCACGGGCCTGGCAGTGCCTAGAACTCCCTCGCCGCACAAATCAGCGGCGTTTTCGCCTATCCCTAATGGTGCACATGCTGAGCCTGTCAAACACAGCGTTTTCATTGACAGTACTGATCCTCTTTTTTCTTACACCGTCTGAAAAGCATGGAGGCAAAGGAGAGCTGAGCTGCGATATCGCCCGCTAGCTCAAGAATTCTCTCGGAGAGTCAACTGAAATGAACCCCAGACAAGGGTTCTTCAACTGCTTCCCCAAAAGCAACCTTTCGAACTGAACACCCAAACCCCACTATTCACAAGAGACTCTGCACCTGCCACGCAGTCGAACGTCGAAACGTGATCATTTGGGACTTGCTCTTTCAACGGGTTGAGCACTCGACCAGCCGAGCCATGCCATGGAATGCCATAGAATGCAACGGTTCCCATGAGTTTTCACACGGTTCCTAGATGTTCCAGGTTCCATCCCCATAGACTCCATGGGACTGCCATATGCCGATCAGTTGGAGTGGTTTGGGGGGTCAATTGATCGGCATATATGGCAGTCCCATGGAGTCTATGGGATCCGATACAGGCTGATACTACTCCGTTGCTTGCTAATTCGAGAACTTTCTCCGATTGGGACCGAAAGCCCCCGAAAGCCCCCGCGACCCGCAAGGGCCCTTGGGCCCTTGATCACCCGAGAGGAAGAGGTTTCGGATTTAGAATCCAACTGCAAGACGCTGATTAATCAATAGTCTACTGCACCTGACGCATGTCCTTGCGAGTCCAGCCGGGCTGGTCGTACAACCGGACCATCACCAACCGAAAATGGAGCACGGCAGCATAGCAGCATAGCAGTAGCTGTTGTTGCATTTCCCCAGAGCCAGTGACCGCCAGTGACCCGGTGATGACCTGGAGCCCCGGTGATACGCACTGACATCCACAAACCGTAGCCGGGTCCACAAACCGTGACCCGGCAAATTGAAACACTCATAGCTACTCAAGGATCTATGACCCAAAGACTCCATGGGATTGGCATTTTATATATGGCCTACATTGGGATTGTCTTCAGGGGTCAATGTATATTATATAAATATGCCAATCCCACGGAGTGTATAGACAGTGATAGACATGTATAATATGCGGCTTAAACCAAACGAACATGAAACGATGGTGGAACGGTGTCTCGGTGACTCGGTGGTCATGTGGAGACCTCTCCACTCGTATGGACATCAAGCGGAAGATGCTTCGGCGATACTACGAAGCATGGATCCCTGTGCCCCTTTTGCATGAATCGTGTCAGTGATGTGCATGAATCATGCATGTCTGATTATCCCCTTTTTCTTCGTTCGTCAGGTTTGCAAAGTGAAGTGAAGGATTCTCTGCAAGGCCACACATACCAGCAGGTTGCTGGTTGAGGGTTGTTGGACCCTAACAGGTCTCAATTAGTGACCTGTAGAGTCGGGTCCTGGTATATATATATATAATTATATGTTTTCCATCTTTCTCCCTAGGATTTGGATGGGATTGGGTCGGATCTGAGCTCCGGCCGCCATGGCCATGGCCACACGGCGACGATTTCGCCGCGATGGCTGTTCCGGTGGCCCCACCGCACCGTGGGTCCCCGTAGGATTTTGTAGGTATCCGATCCCTATGGATCCACATACCTTCTGAGAAGGTGATTGGAGACTATCTACGTAGGCGCCAGGAGGGTCCAAGGACGCCTTCTGAGAAGGTATGTGGATCCATAGGGGATGTCCAAGACATTTAGAACCTTATGAATATGGTGCAAAAGCTCCTTTGTTTTCCTTACTCGTTCAAGACTCTTGACTCGGATCAAAACATCCTCAAGTAGTGGCTGTCTGTGGGGGGGTCGTCTTTAAGATCTAGAATCCTAAGGGTCATCTTGCCTCTCATGGCTTATCATCGAACCCAGTCCCAGGCTTCGTCCAATGATTCCAATGTCCATCGAAGCGTGGAACGGGTCAAAAATGGACCTTGATGAAACTGTTTGGTGTAATTATCTATCCCTGGTATGGATAAAACCATTGACGAAACAGGACCATACGGTAAAACCTTTTGAACCAAAGATGATGTCAGCCTCCTACACTGACTCTGGGTTTACCGCCCGTGGGCGGAATCATCTCCCAGATGGGCATGGTTGGTATGTCCAATCTCTGGACTCTGATGTGTTGGTGTGTGGGCCACATGGCATCTGAGCCTCTTTTCTTGGTATACCCACGTGGCCTATGACTGGAAGCACATGTTTTGACGGGCTGTGATACAAATTGTCCAATTAAAAACCTTGCTATCCTTTGCTTCCCTCATTGATTTCCATGCTCTCCGGAGGTCTCCACACACCGACCCGTCTCCGTTCTTCGGTGCTCCGCCTTCATGCCGGATCCAAGAGATGCTACCTCGTGCGACGCGGTTGGATGCGCACATGGGATGCGGAAAAGCTGGACCCAGGCGAAACGGAAGACGTTTTCAGCAGCTTCGACTCTTGATTAGGCTGGACCCCCCTTCTGGAGACTGGACTCCCCGCTTTTTCAATCCTTCTTGTCCAGCCTCAAAAAGTATTCGTTTCGTTCCGTCCTGAACTGGTTCAACCAAGATCCATGAGGGAACGTCCTAGCCAGTTTCACCAAAGCTTCTTCATCCAAACAACCAGCACCGACACTCAACTCAAACGTGTACCTGTTTCTACATCCAGGTATCCATCCATGGTCCGGCCATCTATGGCCATGCTATATACTGTATACATCTTCGGTCCCTTCATCGCTTCCCTTCTTGGCGGTGAAGGACCTGCAAGTCCGTCCTACCTCGCCTGTCCACCACGAGGTGCACCAGTCCCACCGGTCCCAGCCGCATATTCACCTGATCCCTGAAAACATGCCTGTATGATCCTATATGTAATATCATATGCCAGTCCCAATCACGGGGGACATGTGTCTTTGAAGTGATGTTTGCCTTGCTCGGCCTTGCGGGGATGTGGATCCCCACTCCGACGGGCCTTGGCACTTCTTGTTCGCTGGCCCACATGTTCCTCCAGTGTAACCATCCTGGGCCAACCATTTCAAAGGGGCTGCGTTTTCGAAAGCTTGCAAACGCGTTAAACCGGTGATTTCAACATTATTTGATTCTGTAGGCTTGTATGTGTGTATATTAAGGTCGTCGTATATATTTAGTTATTGTATTGCGTTTAAACAATCGCAACTGAAACCAAGAACCACATTGATTGGAACCCTTCAATCAAGCAGGAGCTCTGCTCCTCCACTTTGTGGGGTGACTCACCTCACACCTCCAAACCGGCCTCTTTCAAACATTCTCAAACGAAGTTGTACTGGACACTCCAAGTGTCACTCACATGGTGAAGGGGATGGCAGCCAGGCCCCCTGTACACCGATGTGTTTTGACAAACAGCATCAAACAGCTGGTTTGCCACGTTCCATCGTCGATTCCATCCGTTGTTTCCTTACCAGTACATGGACACTGCTTTGAAGGCATGCTTTGAAAAGTTGACCAGCATGACCAATCACCTATTGGGTGGGGAAACTCCTCGCTTTGAGACTCAAAGTGTGCAAAGAAGCGGGTGGAAACCCTGGCATCTTTTGCGATAGGAGCACCAGGTACAGTAGCTTCAAACCATCATGTCTTTGGAAGTCAATGCTCTTGATTTCTCAGAACAACAACAACAACAACATGTTGTGCATGTCTTAAGCATTTGGATTAGCCAGTACCTACGCTTGTGTCGGGCGCGCCAGCCATAGATACAAGGAGCCAAAATAATTCTATAAAGCAAAAACAAAGAAAAAACAAAGCAAAAGGTAAAGCAAACAAAAAAGCAAAAAAATGTAGCTGTGCGTGTTTGTCGCTTTTTTCACTTATGTTTCGCTTTATGTTCGCATTTTTTTCGCTATATTTTCGCATTTTTTTATCGCTTTTTCCCTGGGAGCGTACAGCAAATATTGCTGACGGGTAAAAGTTCTCATATCGTGATCATAAGTGCAGAAGTGGTACCAGGAAAAAAGAAAAAAAACAGCAAAACAAATGCAAAAACAAAGCAAATTGTGCTGCTTTTGCATTTTCATTTTCGTTTGTATTGCTTTTATTGATCGTTATTTTTTGATGGTTGGTCATGTATGGCTGCCGTTGCCCAACACAAACCTACGCACTACGCCCCAAACAACAAACAATTTAAGTGTCACTGGCGATTCCTCGAATTCCAATGCTTGTTCGGACCCATTGGCACCTTCACTCTCCAAACAGTCAACAGTCACAGATCTAAACACCGGTGAAACATGGTGAAACGGTGGAATTCTTTACATGCCATTGCCATTGCCATCATCATCCATCATCCAATGCCTATCCAAGCATCCTTTCGGTACCAGATCTTGTAAAACAATCCGAAGTCAAAGTCGCAGGGCGGATTATCCAGCTCCTCCTCAGTCCGCGACGACCCATGGCGGAGAAGAAGGACGGTCGGAAGAAGACCGGGCACGACCGTCGTGCCGAGGTCTTGCAGGCAACAAACACCAATCGGTGAGTTTTCAGCGTGCTTTCGGAAGAATCACACCGCCCGGAAGGCGAAACGGAAGTCCTACTGGAAGTCCTCTTGAATTTGTTGAGGGATATTGATGTGTTTGATTTTGTATATATATATATATAATAGCTCTTAACTTCTGTCGCTTCGAGAGTTGCTTCAGGACTTGCCGCCCGGTTGGGTTGTTTTGGTCGCTCTTTCCATCCAACGAGAGAGACGCGCAATTCACGCGGGGGTATTGAAAAATAGACCCAGTGTAACAACGGTTACAGCATACACACCGATTCCAAGCCAGGAGGTTCACAGATCTCCGTCTAAGATACAGGCCTTACGCATCAAGAGGTCAACCTGCATCATTCTTCAGCGGCTTGGATGTACCCATAAAAATCCATAAAACAAATGACCAAATGATATGATTAGCAACCCAATATTCCAGAGCATCTGCAGTTGGCCTACACAAGCAATGTGTCCAATACATGTTCCATGTTCCCAGAACCTGCACTCATTATCATTCTTTCCATCAATCATCCCCATGGGTCCCCAAAAGGAATCAACAAGTGTTTTTCCAAAGCCAGTGCTTTCCAACTCACCGAGTTGGAGGACTTCGCCGCCGTGACGGCGCGGTACTTAGGGATCTCCATCCAAGGACACCCAGACAGGATGGTCCCGGTAGGTTTAAACAGGGTGTTTTAAAAGAATAACATGTTTTTTTCCCATCTCGAAACCACCACCTTTCAACGGTCAAAACAAAAAAATCAAAGGAGCGATGATCCGCTCCTAAACTCCCAAACGATTCTCAGCTCCGCTCGAGCTCCATCGAGCTGCATCCGATGACGGATTTGCTCCAGAAACTTGAAAAACGCGATCGTCCCACGCTACGCGGCTACGCTGGAGGAGTCGGCTCTATACTATATGGGTGCCCGAATCAATGTCCTGCACCGGGACACGAAGTGTAGCTCATCTTGGTGTGCAGGATGCTCCAAGAAACCCTTGGATGGTCCTGTAATGTCATGTATGTCTTGGATGGTCCCAATGGTCCCTATAATCTTGGATTGCCCTCTAAGTCTTGGATCGTCCTCCTGGTGTCATTAATAATAAAGAATGTCAATCCAACCCAGCGAGCCAAGTGGCGACCGTTGGCAGGTCAGGATACCTGTCCGAAGGGAGGAAGTGGCCAACGGTTCCAAACATGACTAGATGATTGATTCCATTGGTTCACGGGGTTATGTAGCGCAGTAGGTCGGGTTATAAACCTAATTACCAGTCAGACTTTGACCCCGTAACCACCCAAAATCTCAGGTGCCCTGCCCATGCCTGCCCATGTATATCAAGAAACCCCAAATCACTGAGCCACTGAGCCAAAACAAAGCTTTAAGGCGTCTCTACTGCTCTTCTCATATCGTTCCTCTGCATGAACATGACGATTTCAGGGAGTGTATTACTTGGTGGATTCCGGGAACACATCTCTTCAAACCATCAATGGGTCCACTACCCCAGGTCGCACGAAGCCAGGTCATTGCGGGTCGGTGCTTCGCCCTCAGGTCGGCGGTGGTGGAGCGTGGGCGGAACGTGGCGGAACGGATCGGGCATGACTTGGGGGACACCATGAATCACCGGACTGAAACAAACACCGGAAACACATATCAAAGTCGTGGTGATTCATGGTGTCACCATGAAGCAAAGACCAATCATGAGCAAAACACCGGACTGAAGGCTTTCTGTGATCCCGGACTGGATGCTTTCGACACCTTTCTGAAGAGTGAGACATTCGACGTCGGGATGTCTGCCGACCGTGAATCTGAAACAAAGAAGGATTGGACCGTGAGGCGTCAGTGACCTCTCACCTAGTGTTCAGGTCATGGAGGTGACTGTCAGGGCGCAAAAAAATACATAGGGTGGAGGTGGGAGGTTAGGAGTTCACCACTGGTTGACCGATGTTTTGAAGGGAAGGGCCTTGGTTTTTCCTTCATTTCTCCTATAACTGAAACGGATGAGTGACTCGGATGGGAGCACACCAAGACCGAAACAGTCTCACACCGGCCTGCTGTTGAAGAGCTTCACCGCCTGCCACGAATCGCAGAATCGCAGCATCGCTTCGGTTTATTGTCTCCTCTGGCTGAACTGGTTTGACTCAACATGTCGGGGACTCACCACCAGGAATTCACTTTCTATGAGTATCCACCGACATGTTGTTGATCATGTTTTCGACATCTCTAGACTCTCATCTGGCCAGAAAAACAAGCCTCAAAATAGTAGAAACACCCATGGCATGGAAACACCCTAGAAGGAATCACTCACCATCATCACCATCATCTGCTTACCCTGCTTATCCTTATACCTTAGGTATATACACCTCCTTAGACCTCCATCCGCCTGCGCTCCTTTGGTCCGACGGAGACGCCCCGCCTGCCGGACACGCTCCGCGTTGGCCGTGGCATTGTCGATGCCATCCCACCAGCCTCGGTCCGACCGCTTGGGGTGGGTCCGACCGATGTGGTTGGTGTGGATGGTCGGCGAAAAAGGCCCAACCAAGGGCGTACCCACTTCAAACGAGCTGAACTACGAGCTTTCATGCGTGCTTTCATGCATGTAAAAGCTGGGTTTTGCTTCATCGATCTGTATACGGGTTCGCGGTTCGTGTTTCTTTTTCATACAACCGGGAAGCCAAATAAAAACAACAATTCTTTCTGGATCATGTACATCCAGGTTAGGCCTCAAGAGTGGAAGATCGCCTTTTCATGGAGAAATCGCATGGGATCATGGGGGAGATTTGATGCCTTGCTCGATGGAGGAAGTAAAACACCATGAATTGGCATAACAACCTCCCGGGTAACGACCCCCTGGAAGAAGGGAAATACTCCAGTCTGCCCCTTGGGCCAGGGTCTCCCTATCAAAAATACACCAATTGGTGTCCAACTCGAGAACCTTGAGGTACATGGAGAATGCTTTCACCCATCGAGTTCAAAAAACTGGGATGTCCACCACAGCTCCCCTTCACATACAACCACAAAAACAGCGTGCTCAGGATGCAGTCAGAATTTCATGTTCTGGCAAACTTAGGTATATACTTGGTACTAGGTACATATAAAATTATAGACATAATGCATTCGATCTGGCATGGGCTTCTGCATGCCTTCAATCCAATCCTCTTTATTCTGCCCCAACTGAGCATTCACATGAAAATCGGACACTGTGAGTAAAATGGTGCGGACCTTGCACCGGGTACTGGCTTCCTGTGTGGCGTCGCACCAAAATTGTTTGCATCCCACTCTCGACAGGTCACTGAAAGCGATCCCTTTGTCCGTCTCAGGATCGTATTCTCGATGAGACCATCTGCGCGCGGGCGCTGGTGCGAAAAAAAGAAAGAAGACATCCGTGCGGGTTTTTCCCATGCAGGTCAATGGAGGAAATAAACTAAGTATATGGGGCCGTATTGCACGCGTTGATACGCGTTGCATGATTACATCCAACCTCACCTCAGACCGACTCATGACAGTTCACATCGCAGACTGGTCATCCTGTCTGTAAATGTGGGAGAATCACTGATATACTTCTAAGTATACTTCTATATACTGTAGTATAGATGCTATAGCGTTCCGGCTTGGTTCGACCATACTCTCCCCACAGCAAAACAACCAAAAAACAACAACTGATCTGAACTGAAAGAATCTGAAAGATCCAGGCAACTTTAACCTTTCAAAGGGTCTTGATGAAGCTCCAGACCGGCTCTGCGCGCAAGACCTGCCTCCAAGAGTTGTAGTCTTTGATACCCACAAGCCTCAAGAACCGCTCGGAATCGCTCGTCGCCATGAGTGGATGCGAGTGGATGCTCGATCGCCCTCAAAACGCACGCTCCACCGTTCTCCGCCCGCCGGTTCGCCAGGGCTCCCCCAAACACATATAGCTTTTGGGCAGGTTCTTTTCGAAAAAAGACACACACTGCGGAGTCGGGCAGGTTCTTTTCGAAAAAGAAAGACACACACACTGTGGAGTGGGCACCCAGTGGGTGGGAAACATTGTTCACAGACTTTCGTCACCAGGTGCCTCGACATGGAGACCTGATGAGACCTGGAGACGTATCGACACGGAGTCCTGGCGATTTCACCGAGGAACTCGTTGAGGTCGATCTCGCCTGTGGGGCGCCAGCCGAAAGACAAGCAACCACGTTTGGATGGCAAAGGCACGAAGAATCGCAGTGGCCATTCCGTTCTTTGGTAACAATCCATTCCGTTTTTGGCTGGATTTGATAGGTGTGTCCTCCAAACAAGAATCATGGTGTTGCAAAGCCATATAAAGCCATTGATCTTCATGGGGGTTGACATTTTGTTGTTCAGGTCCTGCAGTTGATCACTTGGCCATATCAACATGAGCGTCTTCCGGAAGGGTTTCCTTTGCTCCGACTTACTCGGCATTGTGGGATTGAATCCATCCAAGACTAGCACAGAACTTCAACATCACTATTGAAAATTGGCCCCATATGGTTGCTTGGTTTTCTGTGCCCAGTTAATGTCCTCTACCAACCTCCAACTAGTTGCAACATGCAAGCCACCAACAAACTCCCTTTCAGCGTGCCCGTTTCGTCGGGTACAAAGTCAGCGCCTGCTTCCTCATAGTTCCAGGTGCAGGTGCCATTGCCATTGGGAACGACACCCGGGCAGTAGCCACCAGGCTGAGTGGCTTGGCAGGAGCCCTTCTTGTTGTAGTACCTCAGAAATGTGAGACTGCCTAGTTGGGTGTGTATCTTGATATGGAGGCCCCAAGATCTCCCCTGGCTTGGCAACTGGTCTATGTTCCGAACCATCCAGGAGGTCGGAACGCCTGGGACGGGAGGTGTCCCCAATGTTATGTTCACACATTTACACACCAATTTGCACACACACTATTGGGACATGCTTCTATCCAAACGCCTTCTATCATGGAATCCTAGAACCCCCCTGGTTTTGGTATCACACATCACACCTACCCAAGATCTTGGAGGTGCAATTGGCCCCCCACAAAAGGTATTTGGTCAGCAGAAAACAGTGAAGCACATCATTGCACCACGCCATGATTGACCGCCATGACAGACGATGGTCGCTCCATCGTCTTGCATGCGCGGACCCCAACAGATACCTCCTGGAGACGCCAGGCGCCCAGAAAAACGTCACCTCTGGAGTCCCAACAAGACCTAGTCGTATGCAATCGGCGGGTGGATACATTATATAAATATATGTTATATAAGTCAACCCGGCCATGGCCTGCCTTCATAAAGTATTTTATGATAAAGAATGTAGAAGCGCACATTAACTGGGTATTGGATGGTATTGGATAATGGATGGCGTAATTCCATTGCTGGATGCATCTCGCATCATTCAGCAACGTCTCCAGTAACCAATTATATGTTTACGCTCAAACAGTGCAAGTCGTCCTGCAGTCGTCCTCCCCCTTTCTTGAGCTCCTCCCAGTTGCAAGTTGTTGGGACATGGGCCAGGAACGGTGTACCTCGCCAACTCCACGGGCTCCGGACGGGCGGGGTTTGGGTCGCCCATGGAAGGAAAGGAACGTTCACCCCAAGTCCAAATCAAATCCTAGAAAAAGGATGAAAAAGGGACCTCGTTATATCGCGTGGAAGCAAACCTCGATGATGCTTTCACCGCCCCAGCGTCGAGAGATTGGCCCCCGATCGCGCTTCCAAAAAAACCGGGTGCCCTGAACAGGGAGACCTGTATGTAAGTAGTGTGGAGATGTCCAGCCACGTGACCCCGAACGGAAGCAGCTGGAAGAGACCCATCGGTCGACGAGGCGCATATGTCTCGATCCTTTGGACGTGAAGATGCGCCCTGCTGGCTGCTTCCAGCCAAGCACTGCGCAGCAGTAAGCGTAAGTGCCCCCCCCAAATGCACCAATGGTCCAACCCTTGTTTTGATTGGTTTGGAAATGTTTGGACATGTGAAGCTAACAATGAACCGGAAGAATGGACCTCGCACCCTGCGTTCGACGGGTTTCCTGGTTCCGAGATCGTCCTTTTTCAGGGGACGAAAAATCCCTACCAGGACCTGCCAACAGGTCGTTAGTGCAAGGGTTGTTGGGCTCTAACAGGTCTCATTTTGTCGGGTCCTGGTATCAGTTTCAACTTTGGAAAAGAAAGAAACGTGTATCTATACCAGCTGCTTCCAAGGGGTTACCAATGGACATCTCCACACTACCTATATACTGTAGGTCTCCATTGGGCACCCCTTGGAAGTGCTAGGTATACATGTTGTGATATTTGGTGTGTGGAGATCGTCACCGTGCAGCCTTGACTTCGAGAAAAGTTCATCCCACCATTGGGACTTGGAACCCAAACAGCCCTCCGGCAGTGATGCTCCAGAAACAGCTGGCCACTGTGACTGAGCAAGCTGTGCGCTCCTTCCAAACCAGATTGGTCTTGCCAATGGTATTAGTATAGGGGGAAGATGGGATTCCAAAATTCCACAAAATGAGCGGCAAGCACACATTATGTTTCTTTTTCTTATACCCGTTCCAAAAGTTCACGAAACTTCGGAATTTGCAATAACGTGGAAAACTATGTCCAACACTTGGACTTCCATTCAGTCAAGCACAAGAGGGTGGTTAGCGGGGCAACCTCCCAGTGCGTTCTGCACTCGCTGTTTTTTAGCAGTTCCGAGCGGCCAAATGGCATTCGGGTAGTACCTCAGCTGCGTTGGGAAGGTAAAGACAAACTGCTGTGACCAATTGCAAAAACATATCCAGGTGCTCCGGGATGTATATTATACTGTACATTTATAAATTCCTTTGTATACTACATTGTTACATATTCCTGATTATAAATTACTAGAACCACCCAAAGTCTCATACAATATATGAGACCGTTTGGGTTGGGTAGCCTCCTTCAGACTCATGCTGATGCTTCAGACTCGCGTTGGTTCAGGGCCTCAGGATCCCTTTTCAGCTGGTCAGCTGGCCGCTCAGATCACTCAGCATCCAAGACACTGTCATGTATGCATATTTGTTCACATGCTTACCTAGGGCGGGTGGTGCCAGGGGTGTCCATGTAGGCATATATTATTCCCATGGAGTGTTTGGGATGATTGAGGGATCCAGTGGCTAACAGGGGTCGGCACATCCGTTGGCACTTCAAATCCATCATCCATCCAAATCCCAACAAATTCGCCCGCCCATCATCCGCAAATATCCGCAACCAAGCTTCACGGGGTCCATGGGGAAGGGATAGTTGCCCAGCTTGTTGCAGCCCACGTTGTAACCGTAGGCAGTGTATTCCTCAGCCAGTTCCCACTGCGAAGCAAGGAGTGCTTTGAGCTTTTGACCAAGAAACCCAGTGAAGCGGATCAACCAACGGCCAGTTCCACATTGGTTTCATACCTGCAGAGTGTTCCTCCAACCCAGAAGTTGATGATGAATTCTGAGGTCTAATCACCATGGAGACCAGCACCTCTCGCTTCGTTGCGAAGTCCAGTCATCGGGTCGCTGAGAAGTCGGTCTCCAGGTGGGCAGAAGTCCAACGAAGGTGTTCCACGGCCGTCCACGGCTGACACTGGGTGCGTCAAGCACATCGCCGGACACCGCACATCCAGTGGATGCAGTTGGTCGCCTTGTAGACCATTCAAAGCTAAAGAGATACCCATTTGTGGTGCTCAGTTGGTCGCAGCCTGTACGAATCCACCAGAGTCTGTTCTTTTGGTCAATGCTTCTCAGTGGGAAAAACGGGAATTCAACATAGTTCTGTCCCCAGGAGTCACCAGTGGTTGCAAAAGACCCAAGTTGACGGCCGCATAGATACGTAGATAGCGATGATGATGCATGATTAATAAACCCCCCATGTACAGAAATTGTTCGATTCACGTGGGTTTAGGGTTGTTAATCGAGAGTCTACATGAATGGCTACCTCACTCACCGCATGTTGGGATCGTTTGGAGGGAAACAAAGTGTAGCCCAGGAGCCTACGTGACTCCCTGAGTGTTGCTTGGAAATCAAGGGGCATACTGTATAGCGGCATATCCTTGACCTTTTCCATCTGTCTCTCGTCCCCCGTTCCCCCGATGTTTGTTTGCATATTTCATGATAGGAACCCGAATGGCCGGACCAGGCCCATTGGTCAAGAGTCAAAATCATTCTTGTATGGCTGCATGGTCCCGAGCCATTGCTCCTGCCAATGCGAGGTCAACTCGACGGTCGATGACTCGGTCGGTGACGGTTTTGGACCCTCGATCGACTCAGATGACTCAGGGGGACGGTTTTGGACCAAGACCAGTTCGGTGAAGATTCAATGACCACAGGTTGCGGGGAGAAGACGGGGAGTCCGAAACTCTTGCTTTCAGGGTCTGTGACCATCTGACCTTTTGAGTCGTTGATCATCTAATGGTCGACAGGTCTATATGTACCTTGTTCCGGGTCGGGACCCGGGACGCCTGGCGTCGGTCTCCCTATGTTCTTCTGGGTCAAGACTTCCGACACCCCCGTAGAAGGCACAGGACCATCACGACCGAGCGATGGTCTGGAATTTGTGGAAGAACTCAAAAGGACAGGAAGAACCCCAAAGCACCGCAATACTACTAGAAGCAAGAAGCTACTAGGGTGGAGGCCATCGCTTGCAGGTTGGAGGCTATCGCTACTAGTAACAAGAAGCCAAAGCACTGAAAAAATCAGGACCTCGAGATGCAGGATAGGTTCCTCGAACTTTCCAGGCCTACCTGAGAAGTTCCCCCGAAGCAGGATCACACTCAGCTGACTAGAATGAACTTTTAAAAACTGCAATATAGATCGCTTGGCACCAGTAATAACCAATCTGACTGTGGATCCAAGTGATGATGTTTTCCCACGCGATACTCTCAGGTATTCTCAGGCTGAGTCTAAGGCTCTAAGATAACCTTTTCCCGTGTAAAGACAACGATGAACCACGCCTTTCCCTTTCCACGCTGTTCTATCACTCCAGTGGGGTGTCCACCCCGCCCTCGCCCCCTGAAAAAAGGTGTTGGTTGCAGGTGATCCACTTAGTCGGTACAGGACATGATATACAGTGGGCCATCAGAGGTTCCATGGCACAGACCCCAAGATGTCCTAGACAGATGGGGGTCCTAAACCACCGACCTTGGGGTCTGTGCCATCTCTCAATCCATAGTACCGGAAAAAGGATCATTATATAGTAACGTCCTATCCAGGGTAGGACATACTTTTCCATCGACCAGGATGTGTTCCTCTTCACCGGTCCATCCGGTCGCGAACGGCTCGTCCCTTCGAACAGCTCGTCGCGAATGGCTCCTCGAAGGGAGAGCCATCGCCGCAAAACTTGGGCTTCACTCCTGGGGATTGACGGCGAAACGTGTCGCGGCCGCTTTTCACCATGGCAAAGAATTGAACAAACGTCGTTTTTTGATACATGCTGAATCCTACCTGGGCCACAAAAAGGGGTGTTGAATGGACCTGGCTGGAGATCCCAAAAAAATAAGTAGTGCAAGGGGTGTCCTGACTGGAGATCCCGGATAGTAGCGTAGGGACCTCCAGCCAGGAGACCCATTTGAAGATGCTGGTATATAGGATTCTTGGGAATCATGCGTCACATCAGCGTCACCTTATTAAATTAGGGACGTAGACGTAGGGACCGTACAAGTAGGGATGTAAAACCAGAAGAAAACAGAACAATGCAAACAATCGAAAACCTAGCACAGCCCAGGCACTCGGCGTTCTTTTATAGACCCCGATTGACCCCGCCTGCATCCAATCACCATCCAAACTGAGTGGTGCTGGCTGGCTGGTTCGGCTGCTATGCCGCTGACTTAGAAGGATCCATCAATCTGATTGAAACATATTGAAACCAACATGCTGTGCTACTAAACAGGCCAGCGGTACCCAAACAGAATCTTTGCTGACCCACACTCACCTGAAGCACTTTGACCTTCTACATCCAATGGAAGCCATCACACGCTCGGTCAGGACCTGTCCGTGTTGGGCTCCTGCTGTGGTGCCATCCTTTGCTGTGACATTCTCACGGCCACACACGAAGGGACCAGTAGCCTGGAACGGCCAACGGCTGTGACGACGGCAACAAACATCTCTTTTGTGTTTAAAGAAGTGTGATGAAGTGTGAACCAATGATGTCCTTTGAATAGAGGGGTCCGCTTGGTACCATATATACCTATGTTGGTTGTTCACTTGGGGGTATCCCCTCTATTATGTAAATCAACTACCCAATAGTAAAAGGCCATCTATGGTGTGAACTCCAGTCAGGTTAAGGAGAAACGCTTCAAATCCATGTCAATCCAAGATAATCCAGGTGTAAAGAACGTGTGACAGTCATGTCAATGTAATTGGTTGGTGACCCCATGTCCCTCTATGACGCACCAACCATCCGCTCTTCCTTCGATTGACAATAACTTTTGCTGAACCTGGAATGACAGAGAACGTATGAGACAGTAATAGTCAAATCGCCAGCGCAGTTCATGCCTTTCATGAACCAATGCTGCCACAAGAAGGTCCCAACATCCGCTCACACAGGAGGTCTCTCTCTATATATATATACTATAGAAACCAACTGACCTCTGACTCTGTTTTGGTAGGAAAAGACTGTGTCTTTGCTTCAAAACAGGGGTCAATCAGGTTCTAGGAACCAAAAAACGGACCAAATCTCTGGCGACCGGACCTCTTTGGGGACGGGAGATGCGGAGAGGAAGAGGTCCGCTCCCTTTCCATTCTGACCAAGAGGGGTCGGTGGGGGCCATCAATTTTCTCCAAACCGATCCTATGCAGCGAGGAGGTGCGCACCAGCTTTGAGGTACGACCGGAGTGGTGGGGGAGCCGTCGCGCCTGGCCCTTGTCGAAGGCCAAACGAACGCCAAAGTTCATGTTCAGGTTCAGCAAAGGAGTGGTGGCGCGCATCTGTACCTGTCATTGGATGTCAAACGATGTCAGTGCGTCTTTTCAATCCGGGCAATGCACCAGAATAGGAACCGAGTGGTTCTGTATTTGGCCATCTCTGGCCATGATCGAAAAGACAAACTTCGAAGCGACGGAAGCTTTGCGGCTTCAACTTTGGACTTAGGAGGTGAATGCATGGAAAAAGGCAACCATCATCAGAAAGAAACCTTATTGTGGGCTTGATGGTCCATTTAGCAGTACACTGCAGCACGTGTGACATCTAAATCGAATTCCTTGCGTTCCATTCACATATGGGCCCCGGTGGCTGACAAACTCACCCTGCGCGTGCCGCGTTTTCGCGAAATCACGGCTGCCTTGTAACGCAAGATGCGGGTGATGTCGAATTTCCGAGGCGCTTGGATCACCACCTGATTCCGCGGCCGGTCTTCAGTGAAGGGCACTGTGAAATGGACCAAAAAGGATCCAAGCAGGGTGGTGAAAATGGTGACCTCAAAGGGTTCGTTAATGCTCATCACACTCCGAAGATCTCCGAAGTGGGTTGTCCTGGTATAGTCGAAGGATTGGACTTGGAAGATGATGCTTGGGAGTGTGTGTGAAACAAGACGAAACAATTTCGGGTCATTGATTCAACCACTGTGCATCCTTTTTCTTCAAGGAAGACGATATCAAATTCATTCTGACACCCACACAAATTCTATAGTCTTTCTTGATGGAAGAACTTCTGTACCACTGTACCACCCAGTTCATCCCTTTTGGGTGTGCACAGCGCCTCGGACCGGCTCACCGTCCTTCCGTTCACCGGCCCGTCCGCCCCTCCTCTCCACGGTACGGTGTGCCTCGTGGTGAAGATACCAAAGCACACCGGCCAAGCCTCGGCGACTCGGTCCCAGACCGAAACGGACGGCACCGCTCACGCGGACGCACCCCTTCGGCCGTGCGTGGGATGCGAAGGACCTGGGTTTCGGACGTTGGACCGGTCGGGGTTTCTGCGTTCGGACCCTGGAGATATCTTCTCCGAGATCGCTTCTGAACACCTCTCAATCTCAATCAGTGCAGGGCCCATTTTTGGACACAGGGTTAATGAATAGATAGATAACTCAAAGGCCACCACGGCAGGAGAGGCAAAACATGGCAAACACGATCCTGGAGAGGACGGGGGGGACAAACGATTCATCATGCAGGAATAACATGACATGCTAACTCATCTAACTCCAGAGCCCAGGTGTTCTGGTTTAGGGTTTGTAGCTGAAGGGGTCAAAATAGGAGTTTTGACCCATGGTGGTCTTGGTCTTTGGCCTATGGGACTTCTGTGTATTCGTGGGGGTTCAACAAAAGACGTCCGCAACTTCTTTGGCTCCATCCCCAAGTTTTGTTCAACGTCTTGGCCCAATCCAAAGCATGCTGTGAACTTCTGGGAACTTCCCCCCAAAACATCCCAAAACCGCAAAAAAAAATAAACAAACGTATTACTGAAAGGTATGCCACACTTCATGGTTTGGGGTGCCCCAATCCGCCATCATGCTGTCTCCGCGTTTGTTCAGAGCACCGAGGCTCTTCCCATGTTCACGTTCAGAGGAGGATAGACCTCATCCGACCTTGATGCGTTAAGAAGAAACAGGCAGCGAAACCGGGATGAACTGGATGAACTGGATGAACAGCTGCAGCTGTCAGAAGAAGGCATAACGTTGGACAAGGTCTCCCTATTGGGCCAAGGGTCTCCCTATTTATACCCATCTCTTGTGGCTCATTGAGACGCAACAACCCATGTCTGTCAACAAAGTCTTGGTGGTCTGTGCTGTTTGCGAAGGGATCAGGTGAGCTTAGGAGGCGAAGGTGAGCGATCAGGATGCCTAAGGAGGCGACGTTTGCAGTGCTTTTGGATCATTTATTTAACGTCTTCGCCACCAAGCGTTTGCTGTTGAGGAGCAACGTTCGGTCCGAGATTCAACAATTTTGCACCCACAATGGACACTTGCAGCCGGACTCTTCAAATTGACTAAAGCACTTCAGCTCTTCGTTTGTTGAGACGTCGAGACAAGGCCAACCTCCGCACGAGACCGGTCTCGAAACAACTGAACTTCAACCGCCGGCCGGGTGAGTTGGTCAGCCGTCCTGGATGGTCCATATCTCTATACAGGTCAAAGACATCATTCCAGTGGTTGGCGTTAGTGCATGTTAGTGCATACAGGTCCTGATGGACCCGAGGTTGGCACTAACATGCACAAACTCCAACCACTGGAAGCACTTCCCCAAGGGATGCTCAGCCATCGACACTGCTCGGTACATGTAGAACGTAAGCCTCACGCGTGAGTTGGCGTGCTTCTTCGCATGCGCGAAACGGGAGGCTTCTGGCATCGGCCGACTGGAGGATTGACAGGAATATACCGGGACTCCAGGACCCACTGAGGGAGTGAAAAGGGGGGGACCCGGGAAAAGTCATGGTTCATGGCCGGTTCTTCGGTACCAAAGATCACCAAAGTGTATAGAGATGAAGGCTTTTAGAGGAGACGGAGACGGTTCATGCCTGGGCGAAAAAGCCGGCATGCCGATGATGAGACGGGATCCAAGCGCTCGTCGGGTTGGCAGCGCTCTGGGGATTTGATCATCCGAAAAAAAGCCCTCGTCCAACTGCGTGAGCCTGTTTGCAAGTGGTCAACAGAAGAAGGGAGAACCATCGTTCAATCTTGGGATGCCCAAACGAAAGAAGCACACTCCCTGGAACCAAGAAATGGAAGTCGAAAACTCCCTGTTTGTAATGTTTGTATAGGAGCAATGAGGAAAAATGGTCTTCCAAGGGCCACTTGCCACGTAACCATGTGAGTTCCAGGGAGTGTAGGTAGGTCGATCTCTGAACAGAACGCCGCTGGGACCTCTTGAGCTATGACCGTTTCAGACCATGAACTGGCTCAACGTACGAGTAGAAACTTGCACTGGCTCACATTGAAACACATTGAAAAGAACTCAATACCCTCTGGTTGAAACCAATTATAAGGTGATAGTAAGTATGTCACGTCAAGCGTGAAAAATTAGCGGTTGAGTTGTGTTTGTTCTTTTTTGTTCTGTTGAGACGCTTGGTTTGCAGAGACGTCCAGAAACAAAAAAGCAAAAACACACACAAATGTGGTTTTGAGGGCCGGACCCCTGCTACGGAGGGTCCGACCATGGAGAGTTTAAAGGATTCTTAGGGATATATATATATATATATATTCGTAGGGATATATATATATATCTGAACAACCACTCACTGAGCATAGCAAAGCCGCGGTAGAAACATACTTAGCCCCTGTCTACAGGCCCAGCATCCACTTGGGTGTAGGAAGTCACATCGCAACATGGCTACGCTACGATCGCGTAGCGATCACATCGATCACCGACGATCCGTCTCGCGACGATCCGAGCAGTTTTGCTTGCGAGGAGCAGTGGCCCATTGCTGGGCGAATTCAACGAATCTTCGATGCCGCTCCAGGGCAGGGAAGCCACATCCACCGGGAGGGTCTTAGTGGCGCCCGGCGAGGTGACGGAGGCGCCGAACCGATGAGTCAAAGGCGGCGGTTCAAGCCAAGGAGACAGGCGTTGGTCATGAAAAAATCAGGAGGGTATGGAAAGATCAAGGACGGGGGTCTACTTGAATGCTAGTCCAAAACGAATTTTGGCCGTTCAAATGACGTATATATATACTCTTTGATTGGACTTTTTGGCGTGACCCTGCACGAAGAAGGACATTCATGTTTAGGCATCCATTGACCAGTTTTTGCAAAAGGAAGAAGAATGCACTGTTAGACAGTCCGAGAGCAGTCGTCCCTCCAACCTTTTCCAAAGTGGGTCATCCTTGCTTCGTCGACGGTTCGGTCCACGTGCTCCGAACATGCTCGGTCAACGTGCTCCAACCATCAGCCTCTGGCGACCTGGCCTATCGCGATGGACTCGACGTGTTCAATAGCAAAAGTGGTTGTCACAAGCATGTGGCATGGCTCAATGGCCCGACAGAACTTGCTGTCTGAGCTGTCTGAAAGACCCGCTTAATTTTGTTGTTGATTTCATGAGTTGAGGGGGAAAGACACTTGGGACTACACTTGGGTTTTCTTCAGGGAGGATCCGAATTCTGTGATGTGGCTGAACAGTGGGAAGTGAGCCCAGGCTTGAAACTTAAACTTGAAGGAGGGGTGGCAGGATGGGCATGGGCACGAGCCCATAGTCACTAAGACCTTTATGTCCCGATCTTGTTGTTAAAGTTCCTTGCTGGGGCCGGGTTGAGACTGCCACTGCGGATCTTCTATCCAATTGTACTATTCCATCTCTTCTTTGGTGGTTTGGTAGAAGCTTGCCGCTTGGCTGGATCAATGCTCCCTTCTGGTGCATCAAGCTGTGTCAAAATTGCTTTTGATGTATTTAAAAGTAAAGTGCATTGAATTCCAAACTCCAAACAATCAAGCAATGCATATGTCAATTCATGTCAATTCAACAAGACATCAAACTCCATCCAAATGGAACTTCGGAACATTTCTGAACACAATTAGTCAATAAGAAAATGGATTTCTGACCGCATGTCTGACCGTTTCACCCGAGCGAAAGCGGGCAAAAGGATCTCTTTGTACGCCTTTTTTTCGTTCACCGTCCGTTTTGTCAAACGAGTTGGGGCCTCTTCAGACCATCTGAACTTCATCTGGTTTTTGCAGACGTGGAAAAGACCACAAGAATTTCATACCAGAGTTTGAACGTACAAGGTAAAAACGGGGAGTTCTACCCTTTTGTGGTGAAGGACACGCTGCCAATTCGGTGACACAACATGGTGGTCATGTTCTCAATCTGCTGGGGCCACGGTCAAAATCCAAATATACCTCTAACCTGAGTGACCCCTGTGTTGGAGCCAAAACACTGTCTGTTCTTATCAAAACAAAGGTCATGTCTGGGCTCTCGTGCTATACATGTTGTATACTATACCAGCACCCTGCAAAAGCTCTCCTCTGGTGGCTGAAAATGCTGAAATGGAGACTTAACTT